TTGGCGCCGTGCTGTCTTCCAAGATCTCTCTCTGCCATTAGCAGCAGCGTCCGGGCAGACATCCACGGCCGGCCAGGGGTGGCTGTCTGGACTGGCAGGGTGGACGCCATGGCTTTCTTCATGCACGTCTGGACTGGCAGGGTGCGTCTGCTTCGCCCTGAAAGATCGCGATCGGCACGCTGCGCATTCCAAGAGTCAACCAAAGAGAGAGTGCGCATGTGTGCTTGCAGCCGCTGGGGACCGCAAATTGTCTTACATCATATGTTGTTGTTGTCGGTGGACGCTCCTCAATCTTAATGTTGATGTTCACGTCAACCACCTGGACAAAACGATGCGATTGCAACTGCTTCCACCGGTCGCTCCAAATGTTCACGGCACAAGAATGCCAAGCGTCAGTGATTGCAACATGGTCGAGTTGTTCGAACTTGCTTGGACAGATCGGTTCGCATGGCTTGACTCCCAAGTCGTGGTATGTGATCTTCGATTCTAACCCAGTGTTGAAAAACGTATTTGCCACCATGGCCTCCCATGCTTCGCATAATTCAAACAGCAACTCCCAGTTTGAAGTTGGTGCCCATTCTTCCCGTGGATTTTGAAATACATACTCTCCCAAAACATGATCTTCCCCTGGAAGCCGCTGCAAGATCCTCGCATTGAAGTCAACCAGAGGAATAGTAGGGCCATGCGACGCACACGTTTTACTGAAACCCAGAAGGTCTGCAAAGAAGTTGTGCCTGGCGTCGTAGTCGTGCTCGTTGGTCCACGCGCACGCCGTGATGATCGCCAGTACGCCTCCCGTGACCCGGAGCCGAATGCATGCCTTTCTGTTGTTTTGTTGCCGGTACCCTTTGATAGATTGCCGCGCCCAAGGCGCAACAATAAATCCAACTCCTGCGTACTCCGTTCCGTTTCCTTCCCCGCCAATTTAAGATGACGAAGTGGTTCTCAAATTCGAATACTGGCGAGCCCTTGCAGTGTGTCTCTTGGAGACATACTACCGCTATGTCCATCTCTCGCATGTGCCGAATTAACTCGTACCATTTTGCCGTATTGTCCAAGCTAATGCTTTCGACATTCCAGGACGCTATGCGGCTGCATGTGATAGGCCAACAAGAGTACGTGACCCATTTTCCCAAAGTTGACGCCTCTGCCACATCACCAATGCGCCGTCGTGTTTGCTACATGGCAGCTGCAGCACCTGACCCACCCTTCTTGCCCTTCCGAGTCCCTTTCGCCGCAGCCCCGGCTGAGCACTTCGTTGGCCTTGGCGGTGAGGTGCTCCACTCCTGGGCTCTTTGTAAGGTCGTCCCACGTTTTCCAAGTTCCTTCCCAATGATATTGAGAGTACGGTTTACGACTCGTACTGCTACCACGGGTTCTTTAGCGATCTTGAGGGTGTGATTATCAGTGTCCACTCGAACCTCGGCTTTAGAGTACCTCCATTCCATGAATTGCTTGGGGATCCCAAACAAGAAACTTTCTGTGACACGTTTCTCAATAAGTTGATCCGGACGGGTCCAAATTACATTCGTCCCGTGCTTTAGTTGAGCACTCCCGATGATATTCACGAATTTGTCCCGGACATGGGCAGAAATGAAGTTTGCAAACAATATATTGTTGAATTCACCCTTCGCGAAGATCACGATGGGTTCTGGTGCGTGCAGTACCCCAGCTTGTTCTTTAACGAAGTTGACTGCCAACTTCATCGAAGGGAGTCCTCCCGAACCTCCGATAACAGCATTGTTCTCCTTGTTCCTGTCTTGGTTTGTAGCTACATCTGCAAATTGGCGCGCAAGCTCCAATATCTAATTTTACATGTCGGTTGTGTATGTTGCTCCAGAACGTGCAGATGGTAATCTTGGGGGCTCCAGAGAGTCCACGCGCGCCGCAAGCGAAGCAAGATCCTGTTGAATTGGAGCCACTGCGTTTTTCAGATCATCTTGTGAAACACTGTGTGGTTTAAAAGCCTGAATGTCGTGTTGTAGTGGTTGAAGCTGTTCTCGAAATATGCCCAACTGTCAAAGCTTGCCCATCATTATGAGTCCTGGAGGCCTCGGCTAAGTTCTCGTTGAATTGGCGTTGGCGCTCAGCTGCGAGCGGATCACGATCTTCGTCGGAGAGGCCGTGCATCTCGTGAAGAGGGCTGTGTACAGGGCTGTGGACACGCAGGGCTTTTTGTTTACTCTTAGGCAGCGGTGAATGAATAGGCTGATGGGGGTCCCCGAAGTAGTTGCCTGACGGGAGTACCTGGCACCCGCGTCGAGTCACCACCAAAAGAAGATGCCATCGTTGCGGTATCGAGCTGCAGGTGATAGGAGTGAAAGGAGACGTATGCTTTGGGGGGCCCTTTGGGCGCTCCCTGGGGGCCTCTTGGAAGCTTTTTGGGGACTCTTGCGGGCATCTTGGGGACGAGAGCTCGAAATGTCCGTTCGGGCTCCCCCTCTAGGCCTCCCCTTGGGGCCGTCCTCGGGGCCTCCACGGCCGTCTTGGAGGCTTCTGGGGCCGTCTTGGGGCCCTCGTGATTCCTCGTGTGCCGTCTTGGAGTCCTCTTGGGGACCTCGAGGCCCGTCTTGGGTCGATCTTGAAGGCCGCTTCGACCTGGGTGGGCCTCGTGAGAGCACAAGAGGCGAATGTGTTGAAAATGCCGGTTTTCCGAACAGAGTGGGACGGTTTTTGCTCTTTGAAGGCCTCTTGGAACGGCCCGTGGCGACTTCTTGGAACGGCTGGGAGGCCTCTGGGGCCGTCTAGGGCCAATCTTGGGTCTTGGCGCGATCTTCCGGCGACCCGTGCCCCTCTTGGACAGTCTGGGGACCCTCTTCGGGCCTTCTTGGCCCGTTTTGAGATTTTCTATCCCCCGCGTCGCGTTCGGCCGGTCCCTGGGGGGAACGCCCCCCCTCCAAATCGACTGGACCGAGGTCCTGGGGGAGGCGCTTGGAGAGGGGGAAGCATTTCACACGCCGATGAACCCCAAGGGGTCGGCGGATTCGCCTAGACAGTGCCTGCACTTAGGGGTTCCCACTTCTGCTTTAGGGAGCTGGGCCAGATGGCCGGTCCAACTCCAGCCCTTTCGTTCCCAACCATATTGTGGTGTTGGGTCCTCGTTTTGAAGCGGCAGCGCCCCGCATTCCTTTCTGCCTTCCGCCTTCCTCCTCCTCTCCTCCTCCCCCTCCTCCCTCCTCCCTTCCCTGCCTGTGCTCTCCGCATGCCCATCCCATTTTGGCACACCCCTAACACGCTTCGTGGCCCCATAGGGAGCTCCACCGACGGCCCCAGTGGCGGTGCCCACATGCGTCCCCGCAACCGATTTCGGCACACCCCTCACACGATTCGTGGCCCCACTGGGAGCTCCACCGACGGCCCCAGCGTGTGTGCCCACATGCGTCCCCGCCACCCATTCGACACGCGCTTCGTGGCCCCATAGGGAGCTCCACCGACGGCCCCAGTGGCTGTGCCCACATGCGTCCCCGCCACACATTTCGGCTCACAAGGAGCTCCACTCACGGCCCCAGTGGCGGTGCCACTGCGTCCTCGCCATTTATTTTGGCACGCCCCTCATATGTGTCGCTGCCCCGTAGGGAGCTTCACCGACGGCCCCAGTGGCGATGCCCACGTTTCGTGGTCCCATAGGGAGCTCCACCGACGGCCCCAGTGGCGTTGCCCCAGTGACGTTGCCCACATTCGCCCACGCCTACCACATAACCTGCATCATAGACCTTCACCACGCAGCTCACACCACTTAAGCGAGTATGAGATGCCCTGCCACATCGACTGCGCGACGTAGATTGCACTGCGCGGCTCACACCTCATGGATGAGTACGTCAGCTCCTACCACATATATTGCACCGAAGAGCGGGCACCACGTAGCTCATACCACATGGATGAGTACGTCAGCTCCTACCACATAGAGTGCACCACATCGACCACATAGCTCAATACACATGGGCGCGTACGTGCGTGAACTCCTACGACATAGACTGAGGCGCGCTGCTTACACCGCATATCTCGCACCACTTGGATGATTACGTTAGCTCCTGCCACATCGGTTGCACCACATTGCTTGCGCCATGCACATCACACCACATCGATGAGCATGTTGGCTCTTGCCACATAGAATGCACCAAGCGTTCTCCATGAGACCCGTATTACACAGATGGCACCTCTACGAGCCATCACGCGGATTGCAGTATGCGGGTTGCCCAACATGGTTTGCCCCACATAGTTTGCGCCACGCTTGCACCAAATAGACTGCACCACCTATTGTACTAGAAGCCACTGTTTGGGGTCCATGCTGGCTAACATAGCGTTATAGTGCTCGGACACTTTTACATGTCCAAAATTATCCCAGAATCCCAGATCGTGCCAAAACACCGTTCCTACGGCTCCAACGCCGCGAATCAACATGACTGATACGTCTTGACAATCCGGAACCGTGCCAGAACGCGATTCAACCCCGCGATTCCACGTGAATGTTGCTTTGTCATGGTTGACAGTAGTCAAGCATGACACAGCAACATTCCTGAGATTACAGCCTTGCGAATTTTTGAAGGAAGTTGCTGCAAGGTTTTCAGACGAGTGTGCGCGACGCTCAGCGAGAGCGACACGTTGAAAAAGAATTGGCCTCCATCTTCAAACCTGCTGCAACTTTGAACACGAATGCGCGCGGCTCTGAGGCGAGAGCTGCCTTTTGAACATGACTTATGCTGCATCCGTGGAACTTTTGCAACTTGCAGGTTGGGGGGTCGTCAGTGGTCTGGAAGTCTCAGGCGACACCGGCAAGCCTACCGACAACACGTGTGGGGGGGCCCGACAAGGGGGAGTTATTTCTCACGAAAAGAGGTGGAGCACGAGAAAGACGACGAGGAGGAACGGGGTTCTTGAAGAGGAGGGACGACGACGACGACGACGACGACGAACGAACGACGACGACGACGACGACGACGACGACGACGAGCGAACGAGGAAGACGGGCGACGGACGACGGACGACGACGAGAAGCCGAGGCCAGCCTCGCGCTCCCGGCAACGCCCTGGGGCCGCAGCTGGAGTCCGGGCGGGACCACGGGCGAGGTGGCCGAGCTCGACGGCACGGGCTATGACCGGGCCGGGCCTTCGGCCTCCCGCCTCTGTCCTCCTCTCTTGTCTCTATGTTTCCCATCCTCCTCCTCTTCCTCCTCCTCCTCCTCGTCCTCCTGCGCTCTCCTCCTCTTCCACCCTCCGTGTCCTCCTCTACCCTCCTCCCTGTCTTCCTGCTTCGTCTCATCTTCCTCCTCCTCCTCCTCCTCTTCATTCTCGTTCTGGTCCTCCTCATCCTCCTCCGACTTGTTCCCCATGATCCTTCTTCTCTTCCTCTTATGTTTCTTCCTCTTCCTTCTCAGTCTTCGCTTGCTCCACTTTCCAACTTCTCCTCCTCATCTTCTAACTTATCGTCCTCCTTCGCCCCGCTTACTTCCATACATATATATAGATATAAATATACTGAACAACTAACCTTCTTCCTTCTGCCCCTCCGCCAGACGTGTTCGTAGGATAGACTTATCAGGCGTTTCGCTTGCCACCTTCGCACGATCTTGAAACTAAAAACTCGATCAGCTTCAAGGATAGATGACCAGTGTTTCTATGTGGGTCTTACCGTACAAGTTTGCAAATGCTTCAAGGATGGAGGGCTGCTGGTTTTCAAAATGAGGGACTCGCTCTAGCGTCGTGCACATCCGCCTCGACAGTGTGGAACAGCGTCAAGGATGGAGGTCGTATCGTGTTCCAAAATGTGGTTATTGCCCGCAGATTCGCCCCAGAGCTTGCAGCAGCATCAGCGATGGCTGGACGATCGTTCATAAAACTGCGGCTCTCGCTTCTCCGCCACGCTTGGTTGCAGCAGCCTTTGATGGTGGTCCGGTCGTTTTCAAAGTTCGGCTCCGCCGCAGCGCCGCGCACGTTCGTCTTCGGCTTCACGCGTGGAGGGCCGGTCGCTTTCAAGAAGCGGCTCTCGCTACGGTGCTGCGTGAAGTCGCCCCGCAGCTTGCAACAGCTTCATCGATGGATGGACGATCGCTTTCAAGAAGCAGCTCTCGCGCCAGCGCCTCACGCCTCTATTTTGAATGACTGCAGCAGCTGTTGATGGAGCGCCAGTCGTTTTCACAATGTGATGTTCACCGTAGCGCCGGTCACATTCGTCCTCTTAGTCTGCATCGGCTTGAAAAATGCGGCTTCGGCCCTAGCGCCGCGCGCATTCGCTGTCAGCATGTGCAGAAACTTCAAGGATGAAGCTCGGTGCGTTTTCAAAGTGTAGCCTTGGCTTTAGCGCTGCGCACGTTCGTCTAAAGGATGTGCATCAGCCTCAATGATGGAGGCGGGCTCGCTTCCTGGATGTAGCTCCCGCCAGAGTGCCGAGCACGTTCGTTCTAAACATCCGCAACATCTTGAAGAATGGAGGGCTGTTCATTTTGAACATGGGGGTACCAGGTCAGACTTGCTCAAAGCTGAAAACTGGAACCTTGAAGATGCGTAGAAATTGCACTGATGGAGGGCGGCTCCGTTTCAGAGTAGGGCGCTAGCTTCAAACATCTTCAGACAGCATGACCAGGACGTGCAATGTGGCGCAGCAGTTGCACGGGTAGGGTAGCACTCTCTTGTCAGAATGGGTTCTCTTTCGCTGGACACGTTAAACATGTGTAATCATACCGCTTCGCATGTCTGACCATTGTCTGCAAAAAACCAGTTCTTTAATCGCTTCGCTTACTCCGCCGGTCCGTATTGTGCCATCGCAGGCGTTTGCTTGCGCGTTCGTGGCCTCTTGGAGGCCGTTTGTAGGCCTCTTGGAGCATCATTTTGGGCCTCTTGGCAGTATTTCTGTGACCTCTTGGGGCGTCACGGGGGCCTCTTGGGGGCCTCTTGGGGGTCTCTTGGGGCCTCTCGGGGGCCTCCAGGGGACCTCTCTGCGCCTAGAGCTCGAAATGTCCGTTCGGGTCCCTCGTCTGGGCCCGCTTTCGGAGCCGTCTTAGGAGTCTCTTCGGCCATCTTGGAGGCCTCTGGGGCTGCCTTGGGGCCCTCTAGGGCCGTTTTGGGCGCTCTTGGAGGCCTCTTGGACCGTGTCGGGGCGATCCTGGAAGCCTTTGTGGCCGTCTTGGGGCGCCGGTAAGCCGAAAAGGCGAGAACGCCAAAAATCTTCAAAAAATTAAAGAATCAGGACAGATGTCTGCCTCTGTGGGCCCTCTTGCGAGGTCTCCTGCAAAGAAAAAATTATTGCAGTGGCCTCCGGCCAGCGCCGCCGATCTCATGACTGGCGACGACGGCGAGCGGTGAGCATGATGATGAGGATTGGGAATGGAGGCGATGGAGTAGGATGAGGAGGAGGATGATGATGATGAGGAGGAGGAGGAGGACCATGATGAGGTGGAGGGGGGTGGAGGGAGAAGAGGCAGGAGGAGGATGCTGCGGATGAGGGGGAGCAGAAGGAAGCGGGAAGTGGAAGAGGGCGAGGGGGAGAAGGAGGAGCATGACGAGGATGAGGAGATTTTCGGCGGTTGTTGGAGATGTTCGGCGGTTGTTGGAAAGCCTCTCTGGGGCCAGGTGTTGGCCCTCTTTGGGTTGACACCTCGCCGATTTGGCGCACTCTTTGAAAAGCTTCGTGCTAGAGCTGTCTGCGTCACAGTTCTTTGTGGAGCCTTGTGCATCACAGGTCTCTGCTGCGAGCCATGGTGTTTATGGGGTCTCTGGGGCCCTCGCGCGGTCCTCTGCGGGCCCTTGTGAGATCGCGGATGTGAGGGACACCGAAGACTGGAGAAGATGTGGAAGCGTGGAAGAACCTTGTGCGATGCAGCGGTCGCTTTCAGACGTCAGCGCCGCGGTAGCATTGGGGCCGGTTTGGGGCTTCTCGGGGGGAGTCTCGGAGGCAGCTTGGAGGCCCCTGGGAGGCGTTTCGGATGCATGTGTTGGGACTATCGGGGGCCCTTCGTCTGGACGCCCGAAATGAGCACGGAAAGAATGGTACGATGCCCAACAGCAGTTCCTGTTCATTTTGAATTCGCTGTCCACGCCGCCGCGGCCTGTGTCCATTCGAGACAGAAGGCCGCCTGCCCAACAGCGGCCGCTATTGGTTCGGGACAACATTTGTTGTTGGGCATTGTGCCCATTGTTTCCATACCCATTTCGGGCGTCCAAATTTAAGGGGCTTCAGGGGGCCTCTTCGGGGCCAGTTGGAAGCGTCTTGGGGCCTCTTCAGGTCTCTTGGGGGCCTCTGGGGGCCTGCTGGGGGCTGCTTGGGCCGTCTTCGGCACTTCTTCCGCCGTCTTGGCGCCCTCCCAGGCGCCTCTTGGGCCCGTCCTGGGGCCTTCTTGGGCGTTTTCCCGGGGCCTCCTGGGCCATCTTGGGCCCTTTTTGGGCCATTTTGGAGCCCTCTTGGCGGCTTCTTGGGCCGTTATGGGGCTCTCTTGGGGCGTCTGCGACGCCCTGAGGCCCAAGAGGCGAACATGTGAAAATTACAAGTTTTTTTTTTCCGAGGGCATGGGACATGTTTTGCTTCTTTGGGCCTTCTTTGGGAGGCCTTTTCCACGGTTTCTGTTGGCACCTTGGATGGAGACTTCTGGAGCATGTTGGGGACATATTGGGCGTTTCGCAGCGATCGTTCGGCGACTCGGGGCCCTCTTGGCCCATGTTGGGGCCCTCCAGGGCGAGGGGGCCGTCCTGGAGTGAGCTGGAACTCCGATTCCGCCCCGGGAATTAAGTGCACCCACCCCTTTAGAGAGCTGAAGCTCAGGAATTGAGGCTCAGGCTGTTCTGGGGGTCTTTGGAAACTCACACGCCGGATCGGCGGATTCCTGTGTCAAGCCAAGGCTCGCGCATAAATGGCCATCATTCAAGGGGGCGGGCTTTTGTAGAGCGAAGGAAGGATTGTTGGGATCTGTGCGGGCAGGATCCGGGACGGGCGGATGTATTCCTTCTCCTCCCGCATCCTCCTGCCCCCCTCCTCCTCCTCCTCCTCCTCCTCCTCCTCCTCCTCCTCCTCCTCCTCCTCTTCCTCCTCTTCTTCCACCACGTGTATGTTCATTCCTGTCCTCCTTCTCTTCCTCTTCCTTCTCTTCCTCTTCCTCCTCCTTATCCGATGTGCTTCGCTACGTTGTACAATCGGAAGTATGCTCGACTTGGCCAGATGGGGTAACGATCCGACGCCGATTCGCGCCTTTTTCTCCTTTTACCTCCGTCCTGTCTCCTTCCCTCGCTCTCTTTTTCTCTGGCTCTCTCTCTCTCTCTCTCTCGTTATGTCTCTGTCTCTGTCTCTCTCTCTCTGTTTCTCGTTTTGTTTCACGCTCTCTCTCTCTCTCTCTCTTTTCTCTCTCTCTCTCTCTCTCTTTCTCTCTCCCTCTCTCTCCCTCTCTCTCTCTCTCGCTCTTTCTCTATTTCTACACTTACCTTGCTCTGCCTACTTTGTTGTTTATATATATATATATATATGTGTATCTTTCTCTCGTTCTCTCTCGCTTTCTCTTTCTCTCGCTTTCTCTCTTTCTTTATTTCTCTCTCTCTCTCTCGCTCTCTCTCCCTGCCTCTCCCTCTCCATCCCTCACAATCCCTTCCTCCCCGCATCCCTCCCCTTCCGTCCGCCCTCCCTCCCTTGTTCTTGCTCCCACACCTCTCTTCCTTACAGAGCTTGTCGTCACACCATCAGGGGTGTCGGTTGGGCGGGCCGGCCGCTTCGCTTTTACATTCCTTCGCAATGTACAACACTGACGCCTGCAAGTACCAAGTGGTACACGAACAGAGGGCGGACCAATTTCTCACACGACTTTCTCGGTTTGGCGCCGAGCCCGAACACAGTGCGTCTTGAAACGGACTCATCGTTATAATCACTACGGGCGGGCCGCTTCCAGAACGTAGTTCTCGCACCAGCGCCGCGCACGTTCGATTCAACAAGTTCCAACCGATTCACAGATGGCAGGCGGCTCTTTCTCAGCTCTCGCTTGACAGTTCGCTGGGCTCGATCACGAGGGCTAGCGTTGAGCAGCGTTGCCCGGAAGGTGGCCCCTTTCTGTGCACCCGAGAGCGCCAGAGACACGAACACCCGGCAGCCGCGATCCTCGATCGCCGATCCCGAGGCACCCCTTCCGCCGGTTTTGGCCCACCACGCTTCGGCGCGACCCGCTGTCCACTTCCCGGGCCCCTCGCTTCGACGTCCCGGGCCTTCCCCGGCCTCCCGCCCCGCGGAGCGTAGCGACGCGCCATCTGCCTGCAAACCACAGCGCGCCGCCGGGGCCGGCGCCGCCGCCGCCGCCGCGACACGCTATCCAAAAGTTCCCGACGGCATCCGTGTATGCGGCCTCGCGGGCTGGGCGCTTGGGCCGCGCCCCTGCGGAGACTGTGCGCTCCTGTTGCAGACGCCGGGCGCGGAACTGGCACGCTCGCGCACGTCGGTTCGCGAGGGCGGCCTCGCGAGCTGAGGGGGGGGGGCACGCTCGCGTGCGTGGCTGGGCGCGCGCGCGCGTTCCTGGTTGCGGGCTTCCTCGCGTCGGGCCCGAAGCCGAGGCCAAGAGGGCAGCGGCTCGGGGCCCAAGGTTTTCAAGAGGCGAGCTCCGCGGGCGCCCGCAGCTCCACTCGAGTGCCCGAGTGGTGTGGGGGCGCCGTCCTCGGGGTGCCCGCGGCCGCCGCCGCCGCCGCCGTCTCCTGTTCAGCTTCACACCCCCGGAGGTCACGTGGGGCGTTCCAGAAAGGGCCTCGCCTCACGGATCGAAAAGGAGTCGTCGTCTCCTCCGCGGGGGGGGCTGGCGGGGAGTCGGCGGAAGGCGGCGGAAGTAAAACGAAGCCGCCTTACGGATCGGAGGAGTCGTCGTCTCTTCTTCCAGCGGGGGGGGCTGGCGGGGAGTCGGCGGAGGGCGGCGGAAGCAGAGCGAAGCTGCCTCTGCCAGCGGAAGGCGGCGGAAGGCCGGCGGAAGCCAGCGGAAGCAAGCGTCGGCCTCCCAAGAGATGACAACCTGTTTGGGTTCAGGCGGGCGCCACGAGGCCTCGGTGCTGGTCGCAGCACGACCCAGCAACGGGCGAGAAACGGGGTGGGCACGGGTGGGTCAAATCCCGAGCGCAGGGCGCGCGCCCCAGGCACACACAAACCTGTGGTACCTGCGCGCGGCCGCGGCGGGCAGCGGTGGGTTCAGGGTTTCTGGGGCGAGCCACGTGCCCGTGGGGCCACGGCGGTGCCGGCACGAGCGCGCCGCGGGGTCCCTTGTATCGGGCCCGACGCCCGGGGCGGTGCCGGCACGAGCGCGCGGCGGTGCCGGCACGAACGCGCGCGCGCGCGTCCTCTGCGGGCCGTCTCGTGTCAGGCCTCCTCCTCCTCCTCCTCCTCCTCCTCCTCCTACTCCTCCTCCTCCTCCTCCTCCTCCTCCTCCTCCTCCTACTCCTCCTCCTCCTCCTCCTCCTCCTCCTCCTCCTCCTCCTCCAGCCCGAGGCCAAGAGGGCAGCGGCCAAGCTGCACGCACCCGAGGTCACGTGCCCGGGGGGCCGCGGAGGGGGCCACGCGGGCGGCCGCTGCGCCGCTCGGGGCGGCCCCACGGCAGCACGGCCGAGGGGGTGCCGCGCGTGCACGGGGCGCCAGCTGCGTGCGGCGCCACGGCCATTCGCGCAGAGGCCACGGGATCAGCGGAAGAAAACGGGTCGTCTTCACCGACGTTGGCGCGCAAGTTGCCCGCGCAAGGTCGCGCGTAAGCGCCCTCGCTTCCAGTGCAGCGTGCCGCGCTGGCGGCCCGCGTGAGCCACCGCGTGAGGTGGCTGATTGTGTCATCTCGCGTAAGGCCCGTTTGTTTTCGTCGATTACCTTGGTTCCAGCGGCGCCATGCTGCCGAGGCCGCTGCGCCGAGGAGGCGACCGAGGCCGATGAGGGGGGCCAGGGCGACGAGAGACGAGGGGGCCGCGGCGCCAGAGGGGAGGAGAGCTCGGCGTCGTCAGTCCAGAGCTGGCCCGCTTGGAGGAGCGGGCGAGGCAATGGCGTGCCACAAGAGGCACAGAAAACGACGCCAACAAGGGCGCAGGCCATTTATCAAAGCGCGGGTGGGGGCGCAACGGCACGCCTCGTCCCATAGGCTTTGGACGTGGAGCACCATAGGCTTTGGACATGGACCACTGCTTTGTTGCGTCTGCCACCTGCCGAAAGCGGCGGCTCTCACCCGATGTCACTACCACTGCCACGAACCATCAGATCAGCGGCCACTGTTCTGAGACTTACTGAAACAGGGAGATAGAGAGAGAGAGAGAGAGAGAAAAAAAAAAAAGAGCAATGACGCTGAACGAAACAGATGTGAAAACGATATCCTCCTCCTCCTCCTTCTCCTCCTCCTCCTCCTCCGTAGCCGTTCTCCTCCGTAGCCATTCTGGCTCGAGCGGAGGCGCTCGCTGGTGCGCCGCAGGCACGCCGCGCCCCGCGGGCGCTCCCGGCCGCGCGATGGGTCGTGGCGGGCGCGGCGGCCTCTCGGTGCACCATGGCGCCTCGCCCGTGGCGGGCGCATCTGTCGGCGAGGCCGCCGAGCTCCTGCTGCGCGTGCAGTCTGGGTGCACGGCGGCAGAGGTACAGCCGGGGCCCTGAAGAAGGAACCCTTCTCGTTGGGGAGGGGCCCCGTGTTCCTTAGGTGTTTCGCAGCTTGCCTCAGGGTTTCCTAGTGTCTTCGATTGAAAAGCGAAGGTTAACCTGTGGAAAAAAGGCCCCGTTCCTTATTTTAGGTTCCTTAGGTCAACGCCTCGACTGTGGCGCCAGCTGCGGGGGCGGCGAGCGCGGCGAGCGCGGCGAGCGCGGCGTCGGCGGCTACCTCTGGCCGTTCGGCGCTGGGCGACCGCGCGCAGGCGATGCTCGGAGCAGCAGCGGAGCTGGTGACCTTGCTCGGGTCGCCTACTTCGGCCGCTGGGCTCGCGGAGGCGCGCGCCCGAGGGAGGCGGATGCCGTCGGACCTCGAGAGGAGTTGCAGGACGCTCGGCGGGGCTGCGGCCTTCCTTCGCCATCCGCGTGAGGCGGAGGCTGTCGTCGCCAGTCTTCGGCGCTGGCTGGAGGATGGCGCCGTGCCCAGAGCGGGCTTGCAGGAAGATGGCATCGAGGAGGTGCTCGGCAGCGACGGCAAGTTCGAGGGGGCTGGCCACACACACACAACATTTGGAGCTCGGCACACAGGTGGTGACCGATGTGTTGGAGCCCAGGGAGGCCGAGGGCAAGCTCGAGCACACCATGAGGGAGCTGCTGGGCGAGCAGGTGCTGGAACTGCAGGCTGTCAGGGAAGAGCAAAAATCAGCGCACAACGGACATGCGCATGGAGCATGAGCAGCTGGTGCATCAGTTGAACCACGAGCAGCAGACGCACCTCGTGTCCAAGGAGCGGATCAAGCAGGTGGGGCACGAGGCGCAAGATCTCGCGCACACGGTGGAGGAGCAGTGGTTCAAGATCGCGCAGCTTGAAAAGGCCATGAGCGAGATCGCCTTCCTTGCAGATGTCCCCGCCTTCCCCTTCCTGCACATCGCCGGGGAGGCCCAGTCGTGCAACGTCGAGCAGCTCCAGCGCGACGACGACGCCCAGGAGACCAACGCCCTCCTGCTGAGCACCGCGGGAGACCAGGGCAGGCAGTTGCGCGCCGCCGAGGCGAAGAAGAGCATCTTGGACGGCCAGGTGAGCTCCACGGACGAGAGCACGCAGGGGGCCCTCGGCAACCCGTGGAGCATCGTGAAGAACCTGGGCTGTCCCTAGCACGACTTCGCGAAGGAGAAGTGCAACGGCGACGTGCCGTCGGTCCAGGCGAGGTGGGGGGCCGCGCAAACAACCCCAACAACCCCCAGTCGGCGCTGGGCAGAGGACCTCTGCGAGGACACCACGCTCGCGGTGGTCGACGTGGAGGAGCACCATGGTAAGCCCGCTGGCCACGCGGCGGCGGCGCTAGAGGGCGAGGATGTCGACGGGGACGTCCTGATCCTGAAGGCCTCGCAGTCGCTGAAGGACGACGAGGTGGAGGACCCGCACGACGAGCGGAGGCGTTCGGGAGGACCGCGGAGGCCGCTGATCCTCCAGCGCCATTTTTTCCAGACCGCTTGCCTCGACGAGATGGCCGTCGACCTGGAGGAGCTCCAGCGCATGCTGTCGAGCTCGAGGAGCTCCGCGCGGCCCAGCTGAGGTACGGCCTCGTCTCCAAGGCCAGGCGGGCCAGGCAGACGATGCGCGGGACGTGAGGGGGCCCGCTTTGGCCCGTTGTGCCCCCCTCGGAATTATGGCTCGTGCGGCGCACCTCGGCGTGGGTTTCGGGGGTGGTGCCGCCTGCTTCCCGCCCCGCGCGGTTTGGGCGGCCGCTGGCGGCTGCCGTGGTTTTGCCGTGTTTGCCCCCCGCGGGGGTGGACTCCGCTTGGCCTTGGTCCTCCGGTGGAGGGCCGCGGTTGGGGCGGAAGCTTGTTTGGGCTTCGGTCTGGGTGCTCCTCGTCGCCACGGCCCCAGCGCCTCGCGCAGGGCGGCGGCGCGCACCTGGCGGCGTAAAGGTCCCCCCCCGTGCGCCGATTTGACATCTGGGGCCTCGGTGGTTGTCAGCCTGCTGACGGCCGCCAGGACGTCTTTGATGACGTCGCATCCATCTATCCTCGTCGTCGTCCTCCTCCTCCTCCTCCTCCTCCTCCTCCTCCTCCTCTTCCTCCCCTCCGCGGTTTCCTCCTCCTGCCCTTCGGCGTCGTCTTCCTCATCATCCTCCCCCTTCCCCCCCACATGCCCATGCTCCTCCCATTCCTGGCCCCGAAGGACAGGGTGATGTTTGAGGCCGCCAAGTCAAGCGGGTTGATCTTCGATTCACCTTGCGCCAGGATCGCAACATAATGTATGCACATGATATGATACCAAGGGAGGTCCAGGCCGTTGCTCGCTCGCCGCGGAGGAAGGAGGAAGGAGCCTGGGAGGAGGAAGAGGAAGATAAGAGGCCATTGTGACGGCCGACGTCGTGCAAAAAACTACCGCGCCACTCAGCGCCACTCAGCGCCACTCAGCCACTCAGCGCCAGTCAGCGCCACTCTACGCCAGTCAGCGCCACTCGGCCGTTGAATGGCGCAGAGTGGCGCAGAGTGGCGCAGAGTGGCGCTGAGTGGCGCTGAGTGGCGCATTGGTGGCGCGAAGCGCGAAACGGTGCTGGGTGGCGCTGAGTGGCGCTGAGAGGAGGAGGGGTAAAAGGAGGAGCATCAGGAGGTCGGGGAGGAGGAGGAGGAGGAGGAGGAGAAGGAGGGGGCAGGAGAAGCGGGAGGATAAGCAGCATGGAGGTTGAGCATCATGAAGAAGAGAAGGAGAAGGAGGAGGAGGAGGAATATGTAAGAGGAGTAGTAGTGGGAGGAGGAGAGACAGGAGGAGGAGGAGGATTTGGAAGAAACTAAGGATGATGAGGAGGATGATCAGAAGGAAAAGGATAATGATGAGGAGGATGAGGAGGAGGAAGAGGAGAAGGAAAAGGATGATGATGATGATGATGATGATGATGATGATGATGAGGAGGAGGAGGAGGAGCGATGAAGATGATGAGGAGGATGATGACGACGACGATGACGACGACGATGACGACGACGATGACGACGATGGTTGTGGGGAAGACGGGAGGGAGGAGGAGAACGAGGAGGAGGGGGAGGTCCCGAATCGATGGAAATCGAATCGTGTAGGAAAATACACCCTATGATGCCACAGGTCTCTACATCATACCATGTGATAGTACATCATACCATGTGATAGCGAGGGTCTCTCAATACATCCACCGCTCTGGATGATGACCGTGGCATGAGGAGTGAGGTGGAATGAGGAGTGATGAGGAATATTATCAAAGATGAGGGGGAGGAGGAATACGAGGAGAGAAGACTGAGGGGCCAGAGGACAAGGAATACCAGGATGAGAAATCGGAGGAGGAGGAGGAGGAGGAGGAGGAAGAGGAGGAGGAGGAGGAGGTCCCGAATCGATGGAAATCGAATCGTGTAGGTAAGTGTATCCTATGATGCCACAGGTCTCCACATCATACCATATGATAGCACAGCACATTGTATTCCTGCCCGCGAGGGTCTCTCAATACATCCACCGCTCTGGATGATGACCGTGGCATGAGGAGTGAGGTGGAATGAGGAGTGATGAGGAATATTATCAAAGATGAGGGGGAGGAGGAATACGAGGAGTGAGGACTGAGGGGCCAGAGGACAAGGAATACCAGGATGAGAAATCGGAGGAGGAGGAGGAGGAGGAGGAAGAGGAGGAGGAGGAGGTCCCGAATCGATGGAAATCGAATCGTGTAGGAAAGTGTATCCTATGATGCCACAGGTCTCCACATCATACCATATGATAGCACAGCACATTGTATTCCTGCCCGCGAGGGTCTCTCAATACATCCACCGCTCTGGATGATGACCGTGGCATGAGGAATATTATCAAAGATGAGGGGGAGGCGGAATACGAGGAGTGAGGACCGAGGGGCCAGAGGATAAGGAATACCAGGATGAGAAATCGGAGGAGGAGGAGGAGGAGGAGGAGGAGGAGACGGGTGGAGGAGGAACAGTTGGAGGACGAGTTTGAGGGGAATTGTGGAGAAGACGTGCGAGGATGCTCCGTGCCTCAGGCCATCTGGAGCAATATTTTGCCATCATGCGAGCCAGTGAGGGTCATCCGGAGCCCTATTGGAGCCATGGAGCCCTATTTGATGTCTCTTCTAGGCATTTCGGAGGCAATTTGGGGCCACCTCAGGATACATCATGCCATAGCGTTTGGGCTATCTAGAGCCTTCTTGGGGCCATCTTGCAGCCTCTCGGGAGCCTCTTGGGGCCATCTTCTGGGCTCCGGGATTCCCGATCAAAGAGGAGGACATCGATCAAATAATGGGGGTCGCCATCGTGGCTGTCATCGCATCCATTACCGCCGTCATCCTCGCCGCTTGTTCCCTCGTCCCTCTCATTGGCCCTAGCGCCCTAGCCCATATTGCGCTCATATTTTTAGCAATCGCTGGCAGTCACGATGGCTTGCGCCATCTGCCTCCGGCACCTCGAGCCAGACGAGTCGTGGTCCATGTTGAGCGGGCATGCATACCACAAGGACTGCATATCCCTGGAGTTCGACAGGCGCCGTTTGACCCACATGATGGACCTGCCTTGCCCCCAGTGCAGGCAGATAGGTCGCGACATAGAGGCCGCCGCGGATGAGTTGTTGGCGGAGGGGGAGGACGAGGGCGCGGGCCCGGCCCGCGACCGCAGTCGCAGCCCCGGCCCGCGAGCAGCGGCGCGCCCCAAGCGCGCACCTGCCCCTCGCGCAGGCTCCGCGCGAGGGGCGTTCCGCACCCCGAACACGCAGGGCGAGGGGCACAGGGTCATTCGCGCGAGGCGCCAGTCCGCGCGGATGGCAGATCCTTCTGTCGATGCTGGGCCAGGGCCCGCGCCCGACGGCACAGGGGCGGCGGCGGAGTCGCCAGCACCGCGGCGCGGCCGCGACGAGGAAAGCGCAATCGTGGCGGCGGGGTCACCGCCACGGCAGCGCGGCGGCGAGGATGCAGGCGAGGGTTCGCCTTTGCCAACGCAGCGGACGGGTCGCTCCCCGGCTCTTTGAGGGAGAACCCGCTCATCATTTTGTCGCTCCCCTCCCCCCATCGCCGCCCCTCCGTCAGGTTTTGCGGGGCGACAATTTCGGGTTTGAGTTCAGGGACATCCGCGGCCGCGCAGGTGTCGCCCACGCAGCGCGCGACCCCCTCGCGGGGTTGCTGGGCGAGCTGCAAGCCGTGGCGAGCCAGGGCGAGTTCGAGCGCTTGATCCACCCGCGCGACTTGTTCAACGGTTTCGCAACCGTGGACGAAATCTACGCAACCGTCACTCGCGAGTTGGAGAGAATGGAGGCAGACACCAGGGACCACGTCGCTGTGGGGTGCGACCTGGCTTTTTCCTTGCGCTTGCGCGGCCCTGTGCCCGCCCCTCAGCCGCGGTCGGTCGCTAGGCGGCGGCCCTTCTGATTCGGCCAAGAGCTCCGTCTCTATTAGGAGCCGATCGAGCTCTTTTTTTGAGGGGGGGGTCGGCTTGACTCTCCGATCGAGCTCGCCAGATCGATCCCTCCAGTTAGCTGATCGCTGGCCCCGCACTAAGTCTTCTTTCTTGTCTGGCCCGCTGCGTGCAGATCAGCGCGCCCCGTGCTGAAGTCAGCTTTGGCCGCAAACTCTCTGGTGGTTTTCTTGGGGCGAGATCCCGTGGGATCTGTTGTTATGCTAAGAAACCGGCAGGTTTTGCTTATGTTGTACTTGGGCGCCCCGCCGCCTCCCTTTTTTCGCAATAGACCTGGCAGCTGTGGATGCTGCACAGTTGCGCGGCCGCTATAGTATCTGTATGTGTTTTGAATGAACACCCACAGATCCCACGGAAAACGCTTCGATTTGTTAGGGGTTCTCTTCTTGGCATTGCGAGGACGTCGCGCCTCTGACTCAGCAAGTCCCCCCCCGCTCTCGGGGCGAGATCCCGTGGGATCTGTTGTTCTGCTAAGAAGCCGGCATGTTTTGCTGACGTTGTATTTGGGCGTCCCGCCGCCCCCTTTTTCGCAATAAACCTCGCAGCTGTGGATGCTGCGCAGTTGCGCGGCTGCTTTAGTATTGAGCACCCACAAATCCCACGGAAAACGCTTCGATTTGTTAGGGGTTCTCTTCTTGGTATTGCGAGGACGTTGCGCCTCTGACTCAGCAAGTCCCCCCCCGCTCGTGGGGCGAGATCCCGTGGGATCTGTTGTTCTGTTAAGAAACCGGCACGTTTTGCTTATGTTGTATTTGGGCGTCCCGCCGCCTCCCCTTTTCGCAATAAACCTCGCAGCTGTGGATGCTGTACAGCTGCGCGGCTGCTATAGTATCTTTATGTGTTCTGAATGAGCACCCGCAGATCCCACGGAAAACGCTTCGATGTTTTAGGGGCTTCTCTTCTTGGTATTGCGAGGACGTTGTGCCTCTGACTCAGCAAGTCCCCCCCCGCGCTCGCGGGGATTCCAATGGTCTGATCGAGTTCGCCAGATCGTGCCCGCCATGGAGCCGATCGCCGGTTCCCCGCGCTAAGTCCTTTCGTGAAGGCGATCCAGTCTATCTGCCTGCGCGAGCGGTGGGCGCCAGAGGTCCTGCACCAAGGGATTCTTGCGAACGGCGGGTGGTTGGAGAACGCGGGCACGCGCTTGAAGATGCGCCCCGACGAGCAGCATTTGCGGACCCTCAACGCGCCCGCGTTCACCGGCATGCCCCCTTCCACGCGGAAGTCCAGCCTCCATCGGTTCGTCGCGGAGTTTTTATTGGAGGACGAGCGCGTCGAGGAACCGCGGGCGCCCATTTGGTCCCGGGCGCCCCATGTCTCCCCCATTCCCTTGTTGATTGGGCGCGTTGTGCCTGGAAAACGAGCGTGCAATGCGGCCACCTGCCTGATGCTGCCACTTGCCACTAGGGCTTAAACATACATGTTCTGGCGAAGCTGCTCCTGCGACGGTGCCGCGCCCATGCTCCAGGTGCCCTTGTCGTCAGCCGATATTGCTCTTGCGCTGCTCCCAAGGAGGGCCTCCGGAGGGGCGAGTACATGGCGGCGGACGGCGGCTTGCGCGGGCATCGCACGAACATTTTCAATTTCAGTCGCAGCGGCCTCTCGACTGACGAAGTCAGCACGGCGCACAAAACCCTCCTGGCCGAAGAGGGCTCTGGGATGCATCTTGCCAACAAGGCGAAACTGTGCACCCTGGTGCACTGCGAGAGAGACTCTTCGGTGACTGGCAGAGCACCCGAGCAGCTGTCTGCCTATATACGGGCAGGTGCCGCCCGTCATGGAGGTCACTAGGCCCGCGGCTGGCGGGTT